TGGGCGGAGCCGGCGGATGTATGCAGGTTAGGCCCCTGCCATCTCCTTGGGCGGGGCTTCAAAGAGCTAGGCTGGAGAGACCTCGGGAAGGAGGAGCTGGCAAGGAGAGCAAAGAAGGAGAGGGCTGCCTTCAGTTCCCGGAGCGGCTGTGTCTGGGAGGGGCGAGGAGGTGCCTAAAGAAGTCTGCCTGGGCCGGTGGGGACGTTGGGGGCGGGGACCGGGGCAGGGGAAGGCCAGAGGGAGGGGCAGGGGCAGGGAGGGCTGCGGCCGAAGGGGCGCTGGCGGGTCGCTAGCGGATCCAGGGGAGGAGAGGGGCCCGACCCTGCCCCGCCCCACCCCTACGCGCGAGATTCGTTGTCCGCGAGCCTCTGCGTCCCGCGGGCGCGCTGCTTAGGGCCTGTTCGACCCGGGCTTGCAGTCTTGCCGGGGCGTTCCCAGCCCGAGCAAGGCCATTTGCATCCTGAACTGTGCGGATTGCAGGCACTACCCGCTCCCGTCCCATCTACGTCCTCCCCAGGCTCTTTCCGAACGCAACTCGGCCGGGCCTGGCAAAACTTGGAGCGGGGTTCCCACCGCAGGGACGCTCCCCGGAGCGCAGGGTCACTGGCTGGGTGGGGAGGGGACCCAACCCTCGGCTCCTTCCCCGACCCTGGGGGAGCGAAGACAACGGAAGGGATGGGGGAGCTGGGAGGATCCCTGGAGCGCGAGGACGGACCCATCACCAGGAGGTGCACTGCGTCCACTGCCCGGGAGACAGACAAGAGCCACAGCGGCGCCAACGCCTGGGTCGAAGCTGGGGGCCTGGGCCTGCGCCCCTCCTGCCCCGGGACGGAGGGCAGCCTTTCGCCTCCCACCTCCTCCCGGGGGAGGGGAAGATCCGTCCCGCGCGGCCCTCCTTCCGAGCCCGCGCAGCTCAGGCTCCAGCGCAGTGCGAAGGGGCTGGCTCGCGATGCTCCCGGGTGAGGACCCGCCACCTGCGGTCCCCTTCCCCGCCCCAGATCAGCACCCCCGCCCAGTCCGGCCCTACCCTGGCACCTCGGGGTGTCCGACCGCTGGCCTCGCCTCCACTTGTCCTGGCAGCCGCGCGGGGGCTCGGCGTCCGGCGCTCCCTCCTCCACCGCCCTGCTCCCACGCTGCCCTGTTTCCTGTTCAACAATATAGCGAGGGAGGCACCGGCGGAGAGCACCCGGCAGAACTTCCTCCCGGACTGGGGTTGCGGCTCCGAGAGACAATCCCCGGTGTCCTGGCTTCCTGTCCCCTCTGGGACGGGCCAGCGCCTGAGGAGCAGAGGCGCCACCCCTTCCCCTGCACCTCCCGGGATCCTGGGCCACACCTGGCGGTCTCCCAGAGGTGGAGACAGCAGAACCAGGATGGTGGGATGAGAGGGGAGGAGGCCTTCTCACCAACTGCTGGCCAGATTTCCCTCCACTGCTCTACACCACCCCTTTCCCCCACTGCCCTGCCTTGATCCTTGTGGGGGAGGAGGGACTCCTCCAATCTGTCCGCAGGATAAGCTCAGAGCAGGCTCCTGGGGCTTGAACTCAAGATGCTCACCTTATCTCTGCATCTCAGTTTTCTTTCCTATAAACTGGGGATCATAACACCTACTTCATAGGATTGTTGTGAAGATTAAATGAGATGCACTAAGCAAATGTATTGTTATGATCACGTTCTAAGAACACAGATTAGTTATTACCACTAATTTTATTATGAGGTGAGCTGTCCTCCTCTTTGGGGTTGAATTGAGGTCTCCAATCCTCACCCACCCCCATCCTCCTTTAGGCAAGAGGGGGAAGGGAGACACAAGTGTTCTCAGAAACACCTTGCTAAGGATGGAGGATTGAGTCGAAAGGCAGTACACAGATCATGTGCTCCTGGCCCTCCTCTGGGCCCGCCTCCTCTAGCCCTCGCACCAGGTCCCTCAGGTTTCCTCGAAGCCCACCACTACCTGCCCTTGACGGAAGCTGGGGCTCATGCAATGGGCGGAGAGTGAGTGGTCCCTCGAAGGCTGAGAGGCATCTGCAAGGACAGGAAACTGCAGACCTGAATCTTTCAGTCCCATTTTCCTGCAACCTGATTTCCCTGGGAATTAGTCTGTTTCCTTTTTCTGTCTTTACAGTGGGCAGTGGCGGGCTTCTCCCTGCAGGCGCCCCCCACCCCACCCCTGGGACTTCTTCTGGAACTTCAGAAGAAAGTTGGCAGCCAAGTAAAGGCCACACTGAGCCCTAAAACCATGAGCCCTGAATCGGGCCCTGCTCACAAACCTGTCATTCCTGAGCCCGTTCTCTTGCCTTGGATAACCCTGTGGGAAATGGTTTCATGTGTTCCAGTGTCAGGAGTCTGTGCTTTGACATTTAAGGAACAGGAAGGAAGCCATCATGGTGGGATTTCAGGCATTAGCTTCATTAGTTATATGAGTGTATGTAAGTAAAGCTCCCCAAAGGCCCTGAAATCCTATCCCACGGTGGGGGAGGGGGGCTGACTCGGGGAGAGGCGAGGGTTGGGGGTAGACGACGAAGTACTTCCCCTCTTCTCCACGCCCACTCCCGGCACACAAGCCCCCTGCTTGCAAATGTTTACCAATAACCACCCTCCTCCTGCCCTCCATTGCCTACGGTTTGACTGACAAGAGAGCAGGGGCGGCTATCAGATGGTAACTGAGGGCCTGTGGTCTCCCCCAGTCAGCAGCAGCATTAAGATTCAGAAACCAGGGACTTCCCTGGCGGTCCAGTGGTTCATATTCTGCGCTTCCACTGCAGGGGACCTGGGTTCAATCCCTGGTCTGGGGAACTAAGATCCCCCATGCCAGGTGGCACGGCCTAAATAAATAAATAAATAAATAAATAAAATAACCGAATTACATATTAAAAAAAAAAGATTCAGAAACCAGACCACAGGTTAGAAAGATCAGGTCTTTACTGCAAAATCATTCAAAAATCACACGCAGCAGTTCCTTCGGTACATTGCAAAGCACTTCTCAGGGCCAGGGCCCCTCACTAGAAACAGTTTATTGCATAAAATGAAATTTTAAAAATAGTGTGGGCACTACCGAGGTTCACATCAGCTTCCCATTGGAGATGAGGGTATTAAAAGTCAACTCATCTGAAAGCATCAGCAGCTTTTTGGTATGGGGGAGGGTCAGCTCTAATGCTACTGATCTCAGGGAGGGCAGGGAGCGGGGCGTGCCAGGCCCCGCCAGACCAAAGTGAGCTCCTCCAGGGCCTCACTCCTGCTGCCTCCTAGGGACCTTCTGGAATACAGAATATACTCACAGGCCCGAGGAAACAGGGCTGGGCTCAGGCAGCGCTGCCCACCCCAGGCCCACTCAGGGATCTGGACCAATTACGGCTCTGATCAGGCTGTGTCTGTGGTGGAGCATTAATGCTGGCTATGGGGGGTGGGGATGGGGGTAAGGATCCACTTTCTTTGGTGCACTGGGCACAGGTGTGCACCATCTTCTGTGATGGGGACAGAGAAGCTGTGTGACAGCCCCCTCCCCCATCCGCCTACCACCTCCTCGATTCTATTGCACAATTTATCCAGCTCCACAGGGCCGGGCAGGTGACTCAGCAGCCAAATCAGCCCAAGGGAAAGGTGGGAGTAGGTTCGTATCTTGACAGTGAAGGCGGATCTCCACCTGAGGCCCCCAATCCAAGCTGAGTGCACACAGGATGGCCAGAAGACCCCAGGGCTGAGGGGGACCGGCTGGATCCAGGAGAGGTTGGGGGGAGGCAACAGAGAAATCATGCCCAGATTTCACCCCCCAACCCCAAGGGTCTAAATATCACTTTGAAAACAATTCCAGGCTCCACCCCAAGACCCCTTCAAAAGGCAACTGTGCTCCAGTGAAATTTTCCAGTCTCTTGGCAGCGCCCCTTCTGGGACAGTCCAGCAAAGCTTTGTGAACTCTCATGGCTTTGTAAACTGAGGCTGAGCATCCTTCCACGAGGGTGGCTTCTCCTGCGTGTCCCTGCACATCTCAGCAGCAGGGCTGACACTCTTCGTGGAAGGACGAGGGTTCTGAGGGTTCCACAGTGGGGACCCAGCCTACCTCTGTCCTGGTGGAGGTCAGTCAGGCGGGGATGCATTGCTGCATCTGCAGCAGTCCCCCGCCCGTCTGGCTGCTTGTCGGTGGTAGGAATGAGGAGGGTAGGGGGCTGAGGGGTGGGCTAGATGACGACCCTTCCCTGGACCAAGGAAGAGGCTCAAAGTGCTGACAGTGCTGGTTCCGAGTCATTCCCCTCCTCCTGCGGGACCAAGATCCCAGGCTCTAGGAGAGCCAGGGGCTCTGACACGGAGGAAATGATGGGCTTTTCAGGTGAGGAGGGGGCGGGGAGCAGAGAGGAGAGGGAGAGGAAACACATGGTCCTCAGGACTGAGCCTGCCTGGCTCACCGGGGGTTTGGCACGTTGTACAGGAGCTGTCGGGAAGGAAACGCACCCGCCAGCTGGCAGGCTCTGTCCTAGGGGGCCTGTCCACCCAGCCGCCACCCGCCTACAGGCCTGGCCTGAGCGGTTCCCGCACATTTGCTCAGGGTGAGAGTGCCTGGATTTCTTGGGTGACTTGTGGAGGATCAAGAATAAAAAAATATTTTCTGTTGAAATATGAAGGGAAAAAACCCACCTTAAAAAAACTAGGCCTTTTAATCAGGAATGTGGAATTGAAAATGCTTCCCAAGTCTTATTTCCACAGTGTTTGAACAGCCCTAATGGAGATGGTGCGTCAGTGAGGGGATCCGGGCCAATTAGCGCAAAGCCCCTCTCCTCCCGCATCCTCGGACAGGGGCATCTGCTGGTGTCCCGGCCTCCAGATGGGTGGGGGGCAGGAGGTGTCATCAAGAGCTCTCAAGGCTCCCTCTCATAGGCTCATGCTCTGGTCACATCTGAGAGTCTTCCTGACAAGGGAGACATCTGTGACACCTTGAAAGTGTGACCCAGGCTGATGGCCAACCCAGCTGGGATGGCTGAGCCCCGGGTCCCGGGTGGGGACAGGAAATGGGGTTAGGCGAGAGTGCTCTGTTGCTGGTACTTGCGCCGGCGGGCACAGCGGGGGCAGCCCTTCTTCATCACGGCCTGACAGCTCTGGTGGAAGACGGTCTTGCATTCGCCACACCTGGGAGAAAGCAGCAAGCACTGCTGGGACCGATGGGCCTCCCGGGGCTCGAGGCTGGTCAGTGTTCCTGACGGGGGCCTGCCACCCACGGCACATGGCACTGCCTCTCCGTTCCAGGACAAAAGGTTCTTGCCACAGTGCTTACTAAGCCCCGCAATGCACACTTGTACTCTCTATTCTATTTCCCTTTTATAAATACTGCTGAGACTCACAAAACGATTTCTTGCCTATGTTTCAAAAACTCTGCACTTTAAAAAACTCAGCCCCAGGTCTGTTCAGAGGTCAAATGCGGGTCCGGGGACACCTACTGAAAATGAATGAATGCTCCCACCAGTTCAGTTTTCCACTCCTACATGGATTGGAATGGAGGTTTGGTGGATGAATTTTTCCATTTAGAGGCTTCTGATAATGAGCAATAACTGGGGACAAGAACAATTGTTACGGGGGCAGAGGCAGTGGCAGGTACCACCCACCAGGTGCCCGCTTTATGCCCGGCCTGTGCCAACACTCCAGGCCAGAAACTCATCCAGTTCCTCCTCCACCTGCTCATAGAGGACGAAACTGAGGTCCTCCCACCGCAACTCAAAGAGGCAGCAGACACCTCTTCTCCAGAAACACGGATGGCTCGGTGGAGGCAGGGAGTCCTGTGAGGGCTTGTCTTGTCCCCCTCCCTGGGCACCGGGCTGCTGCCTGGAGACTATGGGGGGGCCGGGTGGGAATGGGGGTGGGGCAGGGTGGCTGGCAGAGGGTCCGCATACCTGACTGTGGTGTCAAACTCAAAGGGGAAGATGATGTCATGGTGGTGGCAGATCTGGCAGATGAAGCCACGCTGGGTGCACAGGTCGCAGTGGTAGACGTGCTGGGAGGCAAACTCGATCAGGGACTTGAGGAATCCTTCATACACCCCGTCCGTGATCTGTGGAGGGCAAGCGCGGGCCACCGGGCCGTTTAAGCAGCTGTGCTGAGCCTGAGGCTGTCTGCAAGATGTGATCTGCTGCTGCTCCTGGCACCCTGCCTGAAGAACTCCTACCCCAAGAGGAGTTTCCTTCCACTTGGGCAAGAAAACCTCCCGGAATCAGGCCGAGCACGTGCAGCCCTTGCGCACGGAGGAATCCACTGTACCCTCCCTTGAGGAAAGGAACGTCGCAAACCCTCACCCCTCCCTCTGCCCTCCCTGCCAGGGAGGAGCCCAGACGCAGGGAAGGGGCTGAGCCCTGTGATCCTGGGCTTTGCTGCAGTGCCTGCCTGTCCCAGGGGCGCTGGGGGCTCAGCCACCGCCCAGGAAGCGTGGATGACGAGACACCCATTCCGAGCTACCAAAGAGCTGAAGATGGCCATCTTGACTCAGTAAACTGCAGGCACTCTCCCCCCACCCCATCATCTCCCTTTCTGATTTCTCCAGGAATAAGGTCCCTCTAGAGAGGTCTGGGGGGTGGCATTCTCACCTGCTGGAGGTCCGCGACACTGTACTTGTGAGGAGACTCCAAGAGATAATTCCTGTGGTTGAGCCTTCAAAGAAAACACAAGAGATTCCTTAGAAGGAACCCGGGCCAACCTGGGTTTGGTTTCATTCCCTCAGCGCTGCTGACCAGGCATAAACAGCTCCCGCCTGGGCGGAGCAGTCAGCCGCCTGGGCTTGGGACCTGGGCTTCCAGGTGAAAAGCTGTTGGGACCTTGGGTAAGTTACTTAACCTCTCTGAACCTTAGGTTTCCTCACCTGAGAAAGAGAGCTGTTCTGAGGATGAAATAATTTATTTAAAGCATCTGGCACAGTGCCTCGTACATAGTAAACAAGGAATAATTATTAACCACAGTTGATAACACTGCACTGTATAACTGAAATTTGCTAAGAGTAGAACTCAAATGTTCTCTGTCTCTGAGACACACACACACGCACACACACACACCCCATGTATATATATAAAAATATATAAAATATGTGAGGATGATGGATATGCTAATTAACCAGATGGGAGGAATCCTTTCACAATGTAATCATATGTCAAATCATCACAACATACACTTTAAATGTCTTACAATTTTGTCAATTATACTCAATAAAGCCACAAAAATTTTAATTTGAAGATATAAAAAAATAAATATCTATTTAAAAACTAATAATGATGAGGATGATGAGGAAAGCTAACGCTTGGTACCGGGAATGGGACTAAGCTTTATATATATTAACTCACTTAATTTTCACAAGACTCCTGTGAGGTTGACACTATTATAACCCCCATTTTGCAAGAGGAAATGGAGGCCCAGAGAGGTTAAATAACTTGCCTGTGGTCACACAGCTAGTAAGTGGCAGAGCTGGAGTCTGAACAAACGCAGGAGTCTGGCTCCAGAGCCTGCATCCTTTCCACCCAGTGAATGCCTGTAGGTGTTAACTGTTGTCATTATTGCCACCATTACATACCAGGGACAGGGCTGGGGACAGAAATGCACAGGACATGGCCTCTGCCTTCCTGTAGCCCCTGGTCTAGTGGAGGGACAGACATTTAAGCATCTGGTTTCAGTGCTATGGGAGAGGAGCTGAGACATGTCCTGAGTGCAGCAGATCCCATTTCAGAGATGGGGGAGGGCGGGGGGTGGGGGAGGCAGAGGACGAGAGCTCAGCTGCCAACCCAGCTCTAGTTTCCACCTCACCAATGGCACAGATCCCAAGGGTCACATCCTGAGAGATGGAGAGGAAACACCTGCAGAAATTCCCCTGGTACAAAAACTTGTCTGGCCTTGCTGTGTGTCTGTGTTGGTACTGGGGTTGGGGGGAGAATTCTCCCAGTCTGAGGAAGCGTGGGAACCTGCCCCAGGACGCTCTGGACATCTGGAGGCGGGAAGGTGCCAGGCCCCGCGGCATCTGGAGTGGGTGCTTGGCTTTGCCCACCGCGTGGCCTCAGTTGTGGTCCATGGGTGACCCCACCCAGGGCCGAGATGGCAAGTTCCACCAGGCAGACAGGCAGGCCAGGCTGTGCTGCGCGGGGTGAGGATGCGGCCACTGTCCGCTCAGCTCAACATGCTGGTCTCCCCAGTAAACTTCCAGCTTTCTGGGAACAGGACGCTGCCGTTTATCACCAGGAAAATGCAGGGGGTGCGAGGTGCACAGGCTATTCCTGCACCGGCAGGAAGGGTGGGGTTGATTTGGATGGAGACTCCTCTGCCCACAGTCGTGGAAGCCCAGGGGGCCAGCCAGGCCCAGGGCCTTCCCTACGAGCCACCTACCCTGGGTCTGTCATACCCTCAAGTGAGGCCATACAACTGTTGGGGGAGATGAGGTCAGGGAGGAGTCCCCTTTGCCAGGGCAGCCCCCTGAGAGAAAGGGGATCCCACATCCTGTTTCTCCTCAGCCCTTCCCGTCCTCTCACCCTTCACGCTGGCCGACTCAGTCCAGGCCTCCTCACCTCCTGGGCCAATTCCTACACCAGCACCCACGCTCCACTGCTGCTAAACTGGTCTTTCCTAAACTCCTGACTGAACGTGACCGTCCCTTGCTCAAAACCCCTCAACAGCTCCCCACTGCCGGCAGCATAAAATCCAGACGCCTTTGCTGTGGCACAGGGGACCTTCGAGGTCTGGCCCCTGACCCACCACCTGGCTGCCCTGAGCCCCCCGAAGGCCCTGGCGAGCCGTGCTCCTGCCCCGCCTCCATGCCGTGGGTTCCCTTAGCCAGGAAAGCGGGCCCTCCCTTCTGCTTTCTTCTCTGCTTCTTTTGCTGAACCCCAGTTCACTACATACGTGATGCCGTTTGTGTTGTGGCAACTCTGTTCTCCTGTGTGAGGACCAACTGGGGTCTGGAGCATCTAACAGAACTGATGGTGGCCAGACTAGAGAAGGGGGATCCCAACTTTCTGCTTGACTCTCTTTCATACTATTTGAATACTATCTTTGTAAAGAAGAAAAAGAAAAGCACTTTTTCTTTTTAAAAGAACAAAAGAAATGAACTTCACAAACCCTCAGCTGATGCCACCTGCTCCGGGAGCTCCCCAGGCCCTCCCTTCCTTCTTCATGGCACACGCCGCCCTGACCCAGGGCCATTTGTCCACCTGTCCCTGTCCCACCCCAGACACTGAGCCCCTCATGTGGCCCTCACCACAACTCTGGTAAGCCACGTCAACACAGGGATCACTGGCCCATTTTACAGACAAGAAAGCTGAAGCTCAGAGAGGTGAAGCAACTTCCCTGGGTCACACAGCGGATCTGGGGCCAGGCGGAGGCTGCGCCTGGGCTCTTTCCCCC